TACATAGAGAGTTCCAGGCCAGCTGGGTCTATCAGGAGACCGTCTCAAAAAAGACCCCCCCCCCAAAAAAAGTATATGTTTGAAATATTTTATTAAGTAAAAGTTTGAGGGGGCTGGAGACATGGCTCAGTGATTAAGAGTACTGGCTGCTCTTCAGAGGACCTGGGTTCAATTCCCAGTGCCCATATGGTGGCTGACAGCTGTCTGTAACTCCAGTTCCAGGGGGTCCAATGCCCTCTTCTGACCTCTGCAGGCATTGCTCATCACAGGTGCACTTACATACATGCAGGCAATACATTCATTCACATAAAAAATAATAATAAAATATTAAAGGGGAAAAAAAAAGGAACTAAGGAACTGTTTGAGTGGACCTGGAGAAATCGCTCAGAGGTTAACAGTACTTCACCACTTTTGCAGAGACCTGAGTTTGGTTCCTAGCATCCATGTCAGGTCAGTTGGCTCACAACCACCTATAACTCCAGTTCCAAGTAATCCAGTGCCTTCTTCTAGTTTCCATGGGCATTTGCACATGTGTGGTGCCTATAAACTCATGCAGGCACACACACATAGACGAAGTTTGGGGGTTCTTTTAAACTTAAAAAAATATGTTTGAGCCAGGTGTGGTGGCACACGCCTTTAATCCCAGCACTTGGGAGGCAGAGGCAGTCGGATCTCTTTGAGTTCAAGGCCAGTCTGGTCTACATAGTGAGTTCTAGGCAAGCTGTGGCTACAGGGAGACCCTGTCTCAAAAAGACCAAAAACTCAGATAAACAGCCAAAGCAATATAGGCTTGTGACTCAGGAGGCACTGAGCAGGTAGGCAGCATGCCCAAGGTCACGAGCAAGCCAGCGGGTGTGTGTTAGCATTTGAACTCACACAGTCTGGAGCAGTAGTCAGTTTTCTTAACTCCTATGATGTTCTACTTTTAAAAAACTTTTTATTTATTTGTGTTTATTTTATGTGTGGGAGTATTTTGCCAGCACCTGTGCTGTGCAATGCCCACAAAAGCCAGAAGAGGGCATTGGATCCCCCTGGAACTGGAGCAGACAGTTGTTAGCCACCATGTGGGTGCTGGGAACCAAACCCAGGCCCTCTGCAAGAGTAGCCAGTGCTCTTAATCACTGAGCCATCTCTCTAGCCCCTGACCTACTTCTTTTGAATAAGATCTTTATTAACCTTTTCAAAGCCTGGAGATGTAGCTCAATAAGCACTTGCCTAACATCTGCAAGAACCTGAAAAAAGAAAAAAAGTTCTTCAAATTATAATCAATCCAAATTTTATTTTTATAGTGTTTAATTTCCTGTCTTATAACAAATACTGTATCATCTTAAAGTATATATTTTTATATTTTATCTATTATTATTTTTATTTTATGTGTATGAGTATATTGCCTGTATATAAGCGCACCTGTGTCATGTAGTGCCCGTAACTGGAGTTACAAATGGCTGTTAGCTGTCATGTGGGTGCTGGGAATCCCTGGGCCCTCTGCAAGAGCAGCCAATGCTCTTAACTGCTGAGCCAGCTCTCAGCCCAAAGTATCTATCTTAGCTACTGGTTTTGTTTTGTGTTTGAGGACAGACTTTTTTTTTTTTTTTTTGAGAGTGGAGCTCACTGTTTAGTCCTGGCTGGCCTTGAACTCACTTCCACTTGCCCCTGGTTTTCCTTAGGACAAAGTCTTTCTTTTCAGCTTAGGCTGGTCTGGAACTTAGGGTCTTTCTACCTCAGTCTAAAAGAGTTGGAATTACAGGCATATATCACGATACCTGGTACCATTTTTTGTGACTTTTTTTTTTTCCAGGTAGCTTTTTTTTTTTTTCAGAGTATCATGGGTTTAATTCCTAATTGTGCCCGATACACATTTTTTTTTCCTTCAAGAACTTTTTTTTTAATTTATACACCCATTTCCCAGGTAGCACCCTCCCATAGTCTCCCTCCCCCAACTAGAGCCCTTATACTCTGATATCCCTGCTACTGTCTGCTGTGTTGTCGGCACCCCCAACCATTCCCCACTACTTGCACTTCTGGTGAATCTAGTCAGCCTATCTAGAGGTCTTTGTTTAGAAATATTGGTAGCTTGTTTTATATGAAATCTTTACCATTAGAATACTGTCTTTAGGAGACCTCTTAGACACATGCCTGACAGTGACAGGGTAGTGTACCAATTCAAGTTCCTTCAGTATCCTTCATGTTTTGCTCAAAGGCTGATGAAGATTCTCCTACATCCTAGTTTCCCAAGGGAGATCAGTTTTAGTCCCTTTCATCCCATTAGCTAGAGACATGCCCCTGATATATGGCTGTACTCTAAGAGAGGCGTCCAGGTCAGTATTGGTCAGGAGCTAGACCTGGATCTGCTGCAACATCTCTTGGCCTCAGGCCTGAGGTGAGATTCCTGGCTCCCCATGCTCTAGATCATGTCCGTCAATGACTGCTTTGCCCTGTGAGACCCCACCACAGTCACTTGAGGCAGGCCTAAGGCTGTGAACTATATCTCCAGCTGAATGAGTGTGCTTATGCCCCTCGATGCAGTGAAGATATGTGACCCTATGGCCGAGTATGTGCTCTTCCTGGCCCTCTTCCACAGAGAACACCAGTGAGGCATCAGAGCTCTCAGACAAGGTCCACCAGGCATTCCAGCTAGAAACCTTTCTTTCAGTCTCTTAGCTCCTCCTACTTGCTTCAGTGCAGGGCAAGTCCAGATTGCAGAAGGTCTGTGGAATAAGTCTCTTTAATTACAATAAAAGTTGATCATTTCTTTTTTTAAAATGTATTTACATTTATTTATTTGGTTGTATGTGTGGGCACATGGGCACACCCCATCAGGAGGTCAGAAGACAGCTTGAGAGACTGAGTTATCTCTTTCCACCATATGGGTTCCAGAGAACAATCTCAGGTCATGAGTCTTGGCATCAAGAACCTTTACCCACTGTGTAATCCTGCCAGCCCAAACTGATCATTTGTAATGAAATTAGTGGAATTGAATTTTATGCTTGATTTCTTTAAAATTACTACCAAAAGGTAAACTTAAGATTTCTATGTGTATACATAACACACTCAACAAGAATATAGTTAACTTTGCATTGTCTAATTCTGGCCTTATATTATAATATATTACACGGAATATTCAATAGCAGTACATTAATTTATCATTTTCAGTTAATAAAAATGAATACATTGAACATTAGAGTTAATTAATTTGAATTATAAAATGAAGGACTTTCTGGCAGAAAAAAAAAGTCTGTTTTGACTGCTCTGATAATGAGAACTGTCTTTATCAATTAAGGTATGGTTGATTTGCTTATTACATTTTGAAAGCCAAATCAGCAGCTATAATTGAGGAAATTGATTGACACCTTACACACATTAAAATGGATTTGACATCGGAGTATGGAAGGATTTTGATAATAAAACAATATTCATTTTGAGGCATATGATTTTAGTAAAAGGCTCAAATATTCAAGGGCAGCTACTACCATAACAATTTCCATGATTTATTTTTGTGAAAATTAGCACATTTATCTTTTTTTTATTGTTGTTTTTGGAAAAACAACCAACTAGGACTTAAAGCTGGATTAAAGCTGAACTCTGACTTTTCCTGGTAAGTCAGATTTGGCATGGATCCAGGAGAAATACTTAAGTGGAAAGGGTAGCTATGTTCATCTCTACAAGGCACATTTTCCAAGAAATACATTTGTTTTCATTTGGGTTTGGGCATTTGTTTTATTTTGTTGAGACAAGATTTCCCTGTGACTTCAGTCTCATGATCCTCCTGGGTTTGCCTCTCAAATAACTTAGATTATACATACGTGCACCACTATGCCTGGCTCTTTATTGTTTCCAAATGAGCATTGGTCATTTTAAAATAGTAATATTAAAAATATGCTAGAATATGTACCCTTTGTAAATATTTAAACTTAGAGCAAAAATTTTTAGATATAATAATAAAGGGTTTGTACATATATGCCAGTTATCTGGGCTGAGGGATCTGTAGCTTTCATCAAATTTACAAAAAATAGACTATTGGGGCTGGAGAAATGGCTCAGCAGTTAAGAACACTGGTTGTTCTTGCAGAAGACCCGGGTTTGAATCCCAACACCCGCATGGCAGCTAACAACTGTCCGTAACTCCAGTCCCAGGGGATCCAATAGCCTCTTCTGACCCCCGCAGGCATTGCATAACACAGGTGCACTTACCTACATGCAGGCAATACACATAAGATAAAAATAATAATTTTTTTAAAAAAAAAGAGTATTTAGACCAGGCATGGTAGCACATGCCTTTAATCCCAGCACTCAGGAAGCAGAGACAGGTGGATCTCTGTGAGTTGAGGCCAGCCTGGTCTACATAGTGAATTCCAGTCCAGCTGGGGCTACAAGGAGACCCTGTCTCAAAAAGACTCCCCCCCAAAAAAGAATATTTGAGCCAAAAAAATTAAGCAGTCAGAGGTGAGACCAAATATTCACTCTTGCCCTCAGTTCCATTCCTCCCCCTAACCCCCACACCGTGGTATTGTATATATACATGTGTGCCCATATGTGTGGAGGCCCATGATTAAGGTTGTCTTCCTTGATCATTGTCCACCTTTATTTTTGGTGGCAGGGTTTCTCACTGAACCTGAAGCTCATCAATTAGACTAGGTTGGCTGGCCAGTGAACATTGGGGATCCACCTGATGCCCTTTCCCCAGCTGGGCTTACAGGCACCCACAGCCATGCTCTACTGTTGAGGATCCAAAATCAGATCCTTGTGCTTGTACAGCAAGCTCTACCCACCAAGCCATCTCCCCAGCCTCTGACTCTTTCTTAGTTCAAAAACACTTTGGTAAGTGTTGGGGTTTTAGTTCAGTATTAGAGCGCTTGCCTAGCATGTACAAGGTTTGGGATTCAATCCCAAGCTCCAAAAAAACAGTAAAGCACTTTTGCACATATTTCATAAAATGATTACTTTCTTCCTATAGTGGTTTCATATTTGCAAGCTGATGGTGCTTGGCATTTTCTCTTTCAGTTTGAAGGAAGGAAGTACTGTGAACATGATTTCCAGATGCTCTTTGCTCCCTGCTGCCACCAGTGTGGTAAGTTTTACTGCTGAATATAAATAAAAAGTATGTTTCAAAGTCATCTAAGTCATCCTAGTTTCCTTTCTGTTGCTGTGATAAGACACTGACCAAAAGCAACTTAGGGAAGGAAGGGGCATGTATTAGTTTGTCCTTCGGGTCACAGTCCATCATTGAGGGAAGTTGAAGCAGGAAGAATCCATGGAGGAATGCTGCTTGCTGGCTCTCCCACAGCTGGTGCTCATCTACCTTTTAGAGACAGGGTCTCCCTGTAGCCCCAGCTGTCCTGGAACTCACTATGTAGACCACGATGGCCTTGAACTCACAGAGATATGCCTGCCTCTGCCTCCAAGTGCTAGGACTAAAAGCATGCGCCACTACACCCAGCCCTCAGCTACCTTTCTTATATAGCCAAGCACCACCTACCCAGGGAATAGTGTTGCCCACAGTGGGCTGGGCCCTCTTACATAATTAACAATCCAGACAATCCCGCCACAGGCCAATCTGATCTGGGTAATCCTTCAATTGGGACTAGGTCCCTCTCAAGTGACATGAGACTCAAGTTGACAGTTAAAAGTAACAAGGAGTCACTTAACACCAAAAAGTGCAAATGTTACAATGTTTTTATTATAAATAACTAATTATAAATCCTTATTATAACTAATATAACAGGCACTTTGTTCTTTTCTGTATTGTTAATATATGCTAAACTAGACAAGTATCAAAACCTGGAGAGAACTGATTTTTATGGACATTGGGGTAAAAGTTTTAGGGACTAGCTGGGACATCTGTAGTGGATTTTCTGCAATACTGTTCCATATATTAACATAGTCTTAGCCTGCTTGCCTACCATCTGGCCACAGAAGAGACAAGGAAGACTTCAGTCAAGTGGATCAAAGTGCCTGCTGGCTGTTTGTATTCTACAAATGTACTTGACTTGCTTACATTGTTGTCACTTCCCTGGTGGCTCAACTAGAAGGTTTCTAGGGATTGGAAAACCTGATTTAATGCTGACAAAACTTAGTGAAGGAAGAAAGTATGGATTATAAGAAAATGTGTTGCAAGGCATGGTGGTATATACCTTTAATCCCAGTCCTTGGAAAGCAGAAGCAGGCGTAAGTGGATCTCTGTGAGTTTGAGGCCAGCAAACATACATCACAAGTTCCAGGCTAGCCAGAGCTACTTAGTGAGACCCTATCTCAAAAAAACAAAAATAAAAATAGTGTGTTGCAGGAGCTGAAGTTATAATGCTCAGTGGTATGGTATGTCCTTAGCATACACAAGGCCCCAGGTTCAAGCTCCACCATCAAAGAAGAAAAGAAAGGAAAAAGTGCTATAGATTTATTATATAACTGTGCCAACAGTGACTACAAACAACAAAAAGGCATTTTGACCCCACGACATTGAAGAAGGAAAACCAGAGTCAGATACGTGATAAAACAGCTAAAAAATATAACCACAAAATCAAAAAGAAGGCCTCATGTAAAATAAAGATAATTTTCAATGTAGTTCTTATCTAGTAGACATAGTTTTAACGTTCCTCAGTATAAGCTAATCTTGGTGATACAGGCTTGCTACTTGGGAGGCTGAGGCAGGAGGATCTCAAGTTTGAGAACAGCCTGGGCAACTCACTGAGATCTTGTGTCAAAATAAAAAGTAAAACTTTAGAGGCCTGGGGATGTAGCTCAGTGGTAAAGTACTAGCTTAGTGTTCAAGGCATGCTAGGATCAGTTCCTGGTACTGGAGGGGGAAACAATCCCTCTTTAAACATTTTTCCTCACAATTTTTTGCTTATATTTATAGCAGATAAGATGCCTCATGACATTTATCATTACCTTCCCACAGGTGAATTTATTATTGGCCGGGTTATCAAAGCCATGAACAACAGCTGGCATCCTGAATGCTTCCGATGTGACCTCTGCCAGGAAGTACTGGCAGACATTGGATTTGTCAAGAATGCTGGCAGGTAGGAGTTTGCTGTCCCTGTTGGATTTGGGTGGCCAAAGGAACTGTTCAAGTCACATACACTTTCCCCTTGGGATGTAAGGTGCTGCTGTAGAGTAAAGGAATTCAGAACCAACTATGTACTGACTTGCTTAGTACTCTAGTAAATGACTCCAGAACTTCAAGTGACGGGCTGTTGTTTTATGCCCCCTGTTCTGCCAGGGAGACATGGGCAGTGGTGAAGTTGATACAAGTCCATGGATTATTAGTGGTAGAACAGTAATGTTGCCTGTAGTTTGAATCTGCTCTGTTAGTACAAAAGAGTTTTTAAGGAAATGGTTTCTTTAATTTCTTTTCAGAGGTATGGGAACTATATTTCTAATGGTTAAAAAGAACTTAAGATTTTAAATTTCCATTTTGGTCCTGTATAGACATCTTTGCCGCCCATGTCATAATCGTGAAAAAGCCAGAGGCCTTGGAAAATACATCTGCCAGAAATGCCATGCCATCATTGATGAACAGCCTCTAATCTTCAAGAATGACCCTTACCACCCAGACCACTTCAACTGTGCCAACTGCGGGTATTAGTGTTTTCCCTTTCATAGAGAATTAAAGTAAAAGAGCACATTTATCTATATTTCTGTTACTCTGGTAAACCAAATTGTTTTCTTCAGTCTTTTTATTTTGTATTGTTTTTTGAACCTAGGGCCTTGTGCATGCTAGGCAAATGGTCTACCACAGAGTTAAAGCCTCAGCTCCCCAACTTTTAGTGTTAGACCTCTAGAAGGACCATCACAATTATATAATGTTCTATACAAAGAATGATCTATAACAACCAGGCTTTTGGTTTTCAATGAGTGAGTTTATTAAGTAGATAGGAAGCAAAGTAAAAGAAAATGAGCAGACAGCACATGGAAGTAGCAGGTAGCAGATCACCAAATTGAGTGCTTCCATCCAACAGACATAACTGGGGAAGGCCTGCCAGAACGATCATGCTGGAGTTCCTGATTGAGAGATTTCCAGAAACAGCAAAATGATCTCTCCATCACTCCAGCTTCTCATTCCCACTGCAGGCATCTTATACCATAGGATAAACAATGGTCGGTAGTGCTTTACCTTTTAGCTCTTCTCAAGGGCAGTGTTTTTAATACCATTAGTTGTTTGCTGTTTTCCTTCCTCCCTTTAATAAGGTCAAGGGGCCAGCTTGCCCCAGGACAGGGAGTCTTGGAATAAACATACTAGAAGTCTGGAACAAGGTGAGTCTGTCCCACATCCAGAGTCAGTTTTTCAGTAAGCTTTAATAGTACTTGACAATTTATCATATAATTTATTTATCTTAATAATTTTTTATACTTTGTCATTTTTTATATATACATATATATGTATGTATATATAATGTGTTTTGATCAGATCACCCCCATCTTCCTCTTACCCCCTTCTCCCTCTCTTTGAAATCCTTCTTCCCACCATACCTCCCCTACTGTTTTATGTTGTTTTTATAACCCACTGAGTTCAATTAAGGTTACTAGCATATGCATGGGTGTGGAGTTATTTACAAGATCATGGGCAACTTATCACTGGCAACAGACCAAGAAAAATGACTCCCCTTCCCCCTGTGATGATTAACTACCAATAGTTCCTCAGCTAGAGGTGAGGCCTCATGTGCCCCTCACCCAATATAATTTATATTACTAAAATAAACACCTGTATATCTCAAGCTGGCCACAAATTCACAGTCCTCCTACTTCAGCTTCCCAGGTGCTAGGATTACAGATATGCAAGCCAGGTATGATGGTGCATGAATTTAGTCCTGGCTCTCAGGAGGCAGAGGCGAGTAATTCTCTGTGAGATCAAGGTCACCCTGGTCTACAAAGCAAGTTCCAGGCCAGCTGAAACTTCAGGGAAACCCTGTGGGGAAAAAAAAAAAAAAAAAAACCACAAAAACATATGATTGATGTGCTGGTGTATGTCTGACCTCTCCTTGTACCTTACCATTAGTACAAAATACTAGCAATCTGAAACCCACTCAAGTCTATTAATTTAGGTTATTAAGATCATCTTTAATGAGGAAAAATAGAAGTTACCAGTGATTGTTATGGTAATATCTTTTAAAACCTTGTAGAAAGTATGCTGTATATGTTGGCTACCTGTTTTGTCTCTTAATAGTGTTATTCAGCTGAGTGTCTTTTTTTGTGGACAGGAAGGAGCTTACTGCTGATGCCCGAGAACTAAAAGGGGAACTATACTGTCTGCCTTGCCATGATAAGATGGGGGTCCCTATATGTGGTGCCTGTCGGAGGCCTATTGAAGGGCGTGTAGTGAACGCTATGGGCAAGCAGTGGCATGTGGAGGTGAGTGTAGACTGGCACAAGGTAGCCAGTTCCTTTGAGTTTCCATGCCTCAGGTGTGCTAGCAAGATGAGAATAGTCTAAAGATTAGAGTTCTGCATTTTTAAAACAGTTGGCTTTTTAGTACATTAGAAATCTAGACTATCACTGCTATTGTGACATACCAACATAATGCAGAATATGTACTTTGTTCTTAAATCCTTGAGGGCAAGGGCCTCAGGGTCCACATCCAGCAACAGTTATCTTCAGGTAGAAGTACTACTGAGATGCTTATCTCTTCTTTCATGTGCCTTGTTTAATAGACTGTATCTTAAAGAAACTCACAGAAACCAGAATTGAGACCACTGAAGTTTCTGATACTGATAGTTATCTTTTCTAAGACTGTATCACCATGGAGGTCACTTTATTAGATAAATAAAATATGACAGTTTAAAAATTATCTAGATGGGGCTAGAGAGATGATTCAGCAGTTAAGAACACTTGCTGCTCTTGCAGAGGACCCAGGTTTAATTTCCTAGCACTCACATGGTGGCTCACAAACATTATATTTATCAATTTCTTTTCAGCATTTTGTATGTGCCAAATGTGAAAAACCATTTCTTGGACATCGCCATTATGAGAGGAAGGGCTTGGCCTATTGTGAAACCCACTATAATCAGGTAACGGTTGCATTTATTGGATATTTGATATATGTAAATTAAAGCTCATCAATATTTTAACTGCAAAGAAATCTCTTGGAAAAATGTGCATTGGTCTACGGAAATTTGTTTTAATTTTTTGAGACCCAGAATAGTTAGAAATAAAATACACAAATGATACCTATGTGCCTTTTACCTGTATTCACCATTGGCATGCATTCGATCTGCTATATAAAAATATATCCTTTGGGGATAGAGAGATGACTCAGTGCTTAGGAGCACTGGCTGCTCTTTGCAGGGAACCCAGGTTCAGTTCCCAGCACCCACATGGTGGCTTACATCCATAACTCCAGTTCCAGGGAATCTGACACCCTCTTCTGGCCTCCACGGGCATTGCCCAACACAGGTACACTAATGTACATGCAGGCAATATACTCATACACATAAAACTAAAAAAAAATAAAATATTTTTAATATGCATCCTTGCATAAACTCACATTTTTATACAGTTGTATGTGCATATAAAGTATAATGTTTTTTAATAATATGCATTTGATTCCACCATGTTCCTTTACCCCTAAATGCTTCAATATATATTTTCCAAGAACATAGAATTCTCTCACACAATTATCAGTGTGGTATAACACTTTAATCCATTTATTTCACTTTTATCACTTAGGCATTTATTTATTTATTTAGAGACAGGGTCTCCATTGTGTAGCTGAGGCTGGCCTTGAACTTGATACCCTCCTGCCTCAGACTCAAACCTTTAAGTGCTGAGATTTATAGGTAACAGGTATGCACCACCACACCCAACCCAATAATGTTATAAGTAACACTTTTTTCTACTCCAAGATTAGTGTCAGTCTAGTGTTTTATTTATTTATTTTGGTCTTTTTGAGACAGGGTCTCCCTGTAGCCCCAACTGACCTAGAACTTGATATGTAGTCCAGATTGGACTACAAATGTTTGGAATGTTTCCAGTATCCTTAATAGATTGTTTTTCCCTCGGGCTTTTCTGTTGGTTCTCCATCATTACATTGACGTTGTGGGCTTTTGGCTGGAATACTGAACAGGTAGTGGTGTACTCTCCTTGGAGCCTCTCCTCTGGAGCACACAATACCCATCGCTGCCCTATTGGTGCCCATCCATGCATGGTCCTGGCTATATCGCACTGTGAGCTACTCTTTGCCCTTTTCCCTCACATTCAGTACACAACCTGTAAACAGTTACTTTATGACTGTATAAATATCCTGCTTCTCATCAAAGTCCACCCTAGATTTGTTAGCATTCAATGATGTTGCATGCTCTGAGTGGAAATGAGAGTTCCTCCAGATTCATGCCCTCCCTGATCAGGTGGCCCTCAGCAGTCTGCTTGAGTAAGAGCCACCCTCCATTCCCAGGTGTAGACTCCTTTGTCCATTTCTTATCTGTAAGAACTTAAAAGTTCCTGTATTTTTCATTAATTATTTTGGTGCTCAAATTTTCACCTGGAAAGATTTTTTTTTAACTTTTTTATTAAATTTTATTTATTTTTATTTTATGTGTATGTATGTATTGCCTGCAGGTAGGTAAGTGCACCCATGTCATGCAATGCCCTCGGAGGTCAGAAGAGGCTGTCGAATCCCCTGCTGGAGTTACGGATAGTTGTTAGCTGCCATGTGGGTGCTGGGATTCAAACCTGGGTCTTTTGCAAGAACAACCAGTGCTCTTAACTGCTGAGCCATCTCTCCAGCTCCAGAAAGATTTTTTTTTTTTTTTTCTCTTTTTGAGACAAGGTCTCCCTGTAGCCCCAGCTGGCTTGGAACTCACTGTGTAGACCAGGCTGGCCTCAAACTTACAAAGATCTACCTGCCTCTGCCTCCCAAGTGCTGGGATTAAAGGCGTGTGCCACCACGCCTGGCTAAGGTTTTTTTTTAAGTGATAAAAAGTGAATAATTTTCGGTATAAGAATAATTTTCATTTTAACTAGTTTATTACTCATTTTCTCTCTGGTAAATTCTAGAATTTAGCTGCCAGCTATTTTTTTAAGTGATAGAACATAAATTATACTAAATTTAATGTTAAAAGCTAATTCTAACACATCTTGAACTTTTACCACTTGTTTTCATTCTCAGCTATTTGGTGATGTTTGTTTCCACTGCAATCGTGTCATAGAAGGTGATGGTATGTATCTGTGGGTATCTATGTGTCCGTTTGGTTTAAAAACCCTTGGGTGAGATTGAAAGTTGATTGCTACTGTTGTTTGTAATGTGGTCATTACCACTTACTTTCCTTGTCATATTTCTGAAGTTGTCTCTAGCAGTAGATGATAATGCCTAAGTTGGATTACTTGTTTACTATAGTACTGTCAGCCATGGCCAAAGTTTTGCTGGCCCAGCAATTGTGGAGCTGTTCCAGGTAGATCCGGAGACCTGTTTATGTTTCCAGTTTCTGAAAGTTCTGGCTGTAGTAGTTAGGAAGAGCCACTTTAACTCTATGATTACTAAAAGCTGGCAGCTGTGTACAGCCTTGCTAGGACTTACTGCCCTCATGGGGTAACTAGGCAGGGTAGATTGGCCAGAACAGAGAGGAAGCAGCTGTGTTTGCTAATGATCACAGAATTCTACCAGAAATTTCCTGACAAAGATCTTAACAACCTGGTTCTCAGCATGCTTTATGGTTCTCAGCAGACATCACCAAACTCAGGAAATACTTTGTGAAAAACTGCTCATATGCAGTTAGTGAAAAGGTTAGTTCAAGGAGCAGTTCATTGCAATTAAAACTTAACTCCTTAACTCCTATATGAGACATCTGACTGGTAAGGAGGTTACTTTATTATGTCAACTTTGAAAGAAATACTTCCCTACAGTTAAATGAGTTAAAGTGTGGCGTTTTTAAAATTTTTTATATGGTTCATATTTCTATGGTGGGCCAACAGTAGTAGGGACAGAAACAGCAGAGAACATGTTAGTCTTCAAGTCTTGTCAGAAAATCTCATCTGAGCAACACAATACAAGCCAGGTTGTCTACCCTCCACAGCACATAGAGGGATTGATTAGTCTTTGGTATCTTAGATTTGTAAGAAGGGGAAATGAAAGGTTAAGAAAGAAGAAAATAGAGCTTGGGAGATGGCTTAGTGGGTTGTGCAAGCATGAGGACCAGAGTTTGGATCCCTAGCACTCATGTAAATGCTGATTGGGCCTGATGGCTTCCCTAAGAGTCTAGTGTTCTGAGGGTAGAGAGAGGATCCCTGGAGCAAGCTGGCTAGCCAGATTAACTATATTGGCAAGCTCTAGGTTCAGTTGAGAGACCCTTTCTCAATGCGTAAGATTGAAAGCAATCAAGGAAGGCTCCTATTGTCAGCCTTGGGCCTCCAGATGCATGTGTACACATGTGTACCCACACACATGCTGGCATGTGTACACACAGAAATGTGCAAAAAAAGAAAAAAGATAAAAAATAATCTTCCCTAAAATTGAAACTTAACACCATGGAAGGCATTATGTGCTTGGTTTATATTTTTAATAGTGTGAGAAAATAGCCATAAATTAATAAAATAGATTGAGTCAAAGCACTTTAATGACATTGAGCTAAGTAAAATAAGATAAAGGACCCTCTCAAGAAAGAGATGTTTGAGGCCCTCCTCCAGGTTCCTGGGGAAGCAGCCACCTTTGTGCTTCAAAGTTGAAAACTGAAGCCTGAAGCCCTCTCTCCTGTAATGGAATGTTCCCGTGTGACCAGGTATCTCTCTCTCCTCAGTGGTCTCTGCCCTTAACAAGGCCTGGTGTGTGAGCTGCTTTGCCTGTTCCACGTGCAATACCAAGCTGACACTCAAGTAAGTCCTTGGTCTAGTCCAGTGAGACTCCTAAAGCCAAAAGCTTGCAGATGATATTTAAGAAAATATTCCTAGACTTTAAAGACCAAATTAATTGATTCCTATTTCTTCTTATGTTGAGGCCTTCAGAAAGTCAAAGTTCTTCCTTTAACTGTTTCCTGTTCTTTCTTCTATTCCTTCTTTGTTCTACTTAAAGGGATAAGTTTGTTGAAATTGATCTAAAACCAGTCTGCAAATACTGTTATGAGAAAATGCCTGAAGAATTTAAGAGGCGACTTGCCAAACGGGAGAAAGAAGCAAAGGATAAGGACAAGCAGAAAAAGAAAAAGCCAGTCTGTCTGTGAACTTTCTGTCCTTCTACCATCACTTTCATTGCTTCTCTGGGGTTAGTCCCTTGGGATGTTTTTGTTCTGCCTCTGTCCTTTTGTTCTTTTTTGGCATGTTTTTGTGGCCATTAGAGATTGAAATATTTGTCTTGTACAGAGTCAGTTCTTTTGCTTGACTATTAAGATTGTAAGGCTTATTAAAATCAACACTTACACTGGCTTGTGTGCACATTTGCTTCATCTGGGGACTCACCTTTTTCTAAATCATGGTATAGCATAGATGCCTCTACAATCCAATCTTTTAAATGATAATGGGGGAAAGTTTTAAAGTATTTTTAATCCTAATAATTGCTGCTGATCTTTGGTTTATGTGCCTGAAATTGTTTAACTGAGAAATTCTGGGTATTGAAAGTTTTTAAAGCCATGTATATTCATTCTGAGTTCTCCTAGCATGTCCTATATTTAAGTAAAGCCTATGTAATCACACAACAAACCAGCCTGTAGTGTTTGTGTGGGTGCTTTCCACCCGGCCGCATGCTGCTGCTTGTGAATTCACTCCCTTGAGTTTCACTTTGACTCCTGATTTTCACTGGATGTGTTGAAATCTTCGAGATTCTGTTGAATTACTGGCAGGAGTGTTTCATTTTTTTTTTCTTCACTCATGGTCACCATTGTGCTTTGAACTCTTACTGTTGTAGTCTCCATGTTTCCTTCTGTTGAAGAATTAAAAGGAGAACATAAACCTAGAACAATAATAACACATGCTAAACAGTCTCTCTAAAGCAGGAATAATGTATTCAAGTTTTCATCCCGAAATAGCTTTTGTTGTAAGAAAATATTGGGAAATTTATTTTAACTCAATTACTGTATTTAAATCAAACTGGCCTTGAAGCATTTAATTTGCTGGTTGAATTAGGATCACCATTAGTTTGTCTTTGAAAAACAGGTGGAAAGCCAGGCTCACAACGGTAGTCCCAGCACTTGGGAGGCTGAGACAGGAGGCTTGCTATAAATTTGAGGCCAGCCTGGTCTACATAGTCAGTTCCAGGACAGCTAGAACTACAATATGTGGCTAGGAATTATTATTGTTATTAACATTATTATTTATTACTAACATTGATGTTTAAAATTACCTCAAAGCAAATGGTTCAGTTTAATATACTTTTTTTAAAAATATTTTATTTATTATTTTTATTTTATGTGTATGTGTATTGTTTGCATGTATGTGAGTGCACCCATGTTGTGCAGTGCCACGGAGGTCAGAAGAGGGCTTCAGATTCCCTCTTCCGAAGGGAAGGAAGAGGAACTGAAGTTAAGGACGGTTTGTAGCTGCCATGTGGGTGCTGGGAATTGAACTCGGATCATCTATAAGAGCAGTCAGTGCTCTAAACCACTGAGCCATCTCTCCAGCCCTGGTTTAAAATACTTTTAAGATGCATTAAGAGCTATATCAGCAGGGGCTGATGGCTAAGCAGTTAAGAGCACAGACTGCTTTTATAGTGGACCTAGGTTCAGTCACCAGCACCTATGATGACTAACAACCATCCATAACTCCAGTTCAGGGGATCCGATTCCTTCTTCTAGTCTCCATGGGCACTGTATGACACCGATATGCACCTGTATGCATTCATACACATAAAATAAAAATTAATTAATTAAATTTAAAATATATTATTGTCAGCATATTTCATAATTATTGTCATAGATAATAGTGTACTACTGAGCTTGTTCTGTGAATGCTTCCTAAATATGATTTCACAGCAAATGAACAAGTTATAAAGTTATGTATTGACTCAAGAGTTGCAATTTCAGCAATAAGAAACTACTGCACCTACCTATTGTGAATGCATAAGAGATGATTAGGAGACATCCTAAAAGTTGTATTCTACAGATTTGTTTACAGATAGATTGATCATACGTGCTCTAGCTATTAAGGAAGAACTCAGTCTCCATACAGCTACCAGTCAGAAAACACCATGGGTGGGGTTGTTACCTTGTTGTTCAAGAATGACTAAACCAGCCTTTTGTCAAACAGCCCGATTAACCCATTATTTTATTTTATTTATTTATTTATTTTTAGGATTTAAGGTGATTTTTTTTTTAATTAGGAGATAAAAGTATACAGGGAAAGATAAAACCTTATAGCTGCCCAATTTAAAATACTAAGTAAGATTATTTTAACTTCAAAATGTAAAGCACTTACATTATAAAAGCCAAGTCTTCACTTTAAATAAATTTATTGGTGACAGGCATGGTGGCTTGCATTTAGTCTCAGCATTCAGAAGCTGAGGCAGGGGGATCACCATGCATTCTAGGCCATCCGGGCCTACAAAGTGAGACTCTGTCTCAACAGTTCAGAAAAGAAAAGGATTCTCCTGGCACTTTAAAATACCTAAATTATACATACATTAAATTTCCTTTTTAGCTAGCTGAATTATTAGCTATTTAGTGAATAACATTTAAACAACATTCCACATTCCCTACATATAGACAAGTAAGGACCATTTTATAATGGCTTTTTTTTTTTTTTTTTTTTCTCTTTTTGAGACAGGGTCTCCCTATAGCCCCAGCTGACCTGGAACTTACCATGTAGACCAGGCTGGCCTTGAGCTCACAGAGATCTGCCTACCTCTATCTCCCACTCCCAGTGCTAGGATTAAAGGCATGCACCATCACGCCTGACATAAAGGCATTATTTTTAACTGATACCATTTATCTCTTACATTTGTCATAATAAGAATTAAAATACAGCCGGGCGTGGTGGTGCAAGCCTTTAATCCCAGCATTCGGGAGGCAGAGGCAGGTGGATCTCTGTGAGTTCAAGGCCAACTTGGTCTACATAGTGAGTTCCAGGCCACCTGGAGCTACAGGGAGACCCTGTCTCAAAAAGACAAAAAAAAAAAAAAAATTCAAATTTCACTCTTTACTCTCATGAATATAGTTATCATTACATAGTACATTATGGTGTCTTCATTTATATATAGTTCAATGAAATTATATCACTTATAATATGTATGTCTATATTGGGTACACTTCCACTGATTTTTTTTTAATTATTATCTTTAGGAATAAATTTGTGGAGTTTGACATGAAGCCAGTCTGCAAGAAGTGCTATGAGAAATTTCCACTGGAGCTGAAGAAAAGACTTAAGAAACTAGCTGAGACCTTAGGAAGAAAATAACTTCCAGTATTTTTTTCTCTTCTAGGCAAAGATGGATTACCAACATTGCTTAACTTGATCTGCCCTTATTTAAAGTTATATCAGACCATTAGAGACAATGGTTTTCTTAATTTCCTTTTTCTTGTTAAAATTTATGCTCCTCTTAAAACACAGATGAAATAAGAATCTGCCTTTGCCTAGCCATAGCAGTTTATGGGCGTGTAGGCTATACAGCAAAAGTTACGTGATAAATGGTCATTTTTAACTAAGCTCCCAAAAAATTTAATGTAATTTTTCAAAATTAATGGAGTCAGCTTTGGAGCTAGCAAGATGGCTCAATGGGTAAAAGCACTTGCTGCCAAACCTGATGACCTAAGTTTAATCCTGGATCCTACGTGATGGAAGGAGAGAACTGATTCCCACAAGTTGTCCTCTAACCTCCACAGGCACTCCTTGGTATGTGTGTGCTTACATACACAGTAAATAAATATATACAATAGATAATTATTTTAAAGGACTCAGCTTTTACATGACTCAGATTTTTAAAAAACTGCAAAGATTGTTTTTCTTTATATTCCTAAGAAAATCATTGTCTGCTCATATTGCAGAGGATATAGGAAAGATAAGTAAACAGCCAAAACAATTCTTACACAGTCTTATTATGTTTATCAAATTAGTGTTGAAAGTGAGAATACAGATTACTAGGAAGAAAATATATTCAAAACTACTTAATTTTTTGTTAGATGCAGTAATAACCATTATGCTTTGTTTTCTATTTTGTTCTCATGAATTTCTTCATACAATTACTTAACATAGTTGTCATAGTTAGCTAATATAGAATCTTAAATTTTAAGCAAAAAAAAAATAATAATGTATATACACCAAGTATATGAAAATACTGCATACTTTATGATTGGAAAATGAAAGTATTTTTCAAATATATTACACAATTTTGTTTCTAAGCTTAATGTGAAATATGCAGTGTTCAAATAGGACATGAGATGAAATATTATTTAGCTTGGAATATATAACTTTTAAAAGGTAGATGTGAGCCAGGTATGGTGGCACATGCCTGTAGTCCCCGCACTTGGGAAGGTGGAGGCAGGCACATCAGTTCAAGGCTAGTCTTAGCCACAGAGTGAGTTTTAGGCCAGCCTGAGCCACATGAGACCCTGTCTTTAAAAAATAAAACTAAATGGATATGTATGCCTTTGTATTGCCTTTATAACTCCGTTAGTATCTATGCCTCATACATAATCAAACTTGCTTTGCCTTAGAAAAATACATACCTTAATCAGGAATTCTAGCTGTTTCCATAATACCAAGTAAAAACAAATGCCTTGATTAAGGTTTGTAAATTTAAATTAATTTGCCACTGGTATAATTAAATTTAAATTTTTTCTTTTCTCAGGAAGCTCATGAACATTAATTCCTGACGTGTTAAAATGATGTTGATATGTTTTAAGTTTTTCACTTCAAATTTCACAATTGGGTTTCATTTACTATAAGTAAGAGTATAAACGATATTTTTAAATTGAAAGAGAGTTGTATGAATATTGACTTTAGATCAAAATTAATGAATTCTGGGAATTCTAAGTTTTCTAAGAAATTTTATCCTGAACTGGACCATTCTTTTTGTATAAACTCATTATGCAAAGGTATGAACATTCTTTAAACATTTCTGCTACTGCTGTGTTATCTTTTTGTTGTTGTTGTTCATTTGTTTTTTGTTTACTTGCCAAGATATTAAGAGGAAAATGATCTGGGCATAGTGACTCACTTACACTTGTATCCCAGAACTTGGGAGGCTGAAGCAGGAAGAGTACCATAAATTGGAGGCCAGCCTAGGTTACAGTGTGAGACTTTGCCCCCCCCCCCAAAAAAAAGCCCACAAACAAAACGCTTAAATTGTTTTGCCATAAAGAATATCTCAGGGGCCTAGGAGGCATTTCAGTCAGTAAAGTGTTTGCCCTGCAAACATGAGGACCTGAGTTTGATCTCCAGCTTCCATGTGAAAAACTGGGCACAGCGGTACATTCCTACAATCCCAGTGCTGGAGAAGCAGAGGCAGGCAGATTGCTCGGACTCACTGCCCAGCCATCCCAGCCTAACTGGTGAGCCCTAGGTCCCAGTGAAAGACTAACATGAAAAAAGACAGGGTGAATATCTTCTGAAGTATGACACCCAAAATTGATGTCTGGCCTCCACAAGCATATACACAACACAAACACACACAGGAACAGATACAAAAAACTAATATTTCAGGATACTACTCTTCTGCCATTAAGATACTTGTAAGCATGCATTTTAAAAAATTGGTAATTCGCATTACATAATACTGTTTCTGCTTTCAGATACCTAAGTTGTAACCATTTTTTTTTTTCTTAATGTTCTTTTGGAATTAAGAGAATTTTAAGTGGTTAAAAATGTTACATAGTTTATGTTTCTTAGTATAAAATTGTCTTTGCATTTGACAGTAAGAACCAAAATTTCTTCAGTGTGCCTTTGTTAGCTGATAACGACCAGCAATGAATACCTTGAAAGTATTTATGAAATATACACACGTTTAGGCAAATAGGAGAGTTTGTAGTATAGCGTCTTGATGTTAAATTCCTACCTACTTCTACATCAGAAATATGGAGCAGAAAAGCAAGCACTTAAATACATTCTTAATTACTTTGGAGAAGCATGGACTAAACTTAACTGCCTTTGCTTACATGCTGCATATAGCTGGGCATCTCATAGCAACAGGCCCCATTGCAGTCTTTGCTCAGCTCTCTTAAAACATGAATTAAAAACAAACAAAAAAAACTTTAATATCAAAAAAGTGACAAATTTTCCTTCACAATACAGATAATTAACAAAAATTAAAATTATGTTTAACTTCAAAAAACATGAATTCATAGCTGGGCATGGTGGTGCACACCTGTAGTCCCAGCACTTGTGAGGCAGAGGCAGGCGGATCTCTGTGAGTTCAAGGCCAGCCTCCTGGTCTACATAGTGAGTTCCAGGCCAGCTGGGAATACAGGGAGACCCTGTTTCAAAAAGACCGAAAAAAAAAATAATAATTCATATTTCTTAGAAGTTTGGCTTGCTAGGCTCCTAATACAGTAATTTATCTAGATGCAGTACTTTCTCCCTTGATAGGAGTACTGTTGGAGCCTTTATATGTGGAAGAGGAAAGTTCAAATGGTATAAGTGGAGTAGAACACAAACTTAGTCTAGTTCTTACTTTTCATAGGATTTCACTGTCTGCTGACTTAGAGCAGTAAGTGTCTCTGTTTAAATTCCTAAAAGACAATCTGAAATAATTCATCATTCTTACCAAATTCCTAAGTGCTCTTTTTTTTTCTTAGTTAGCTTAATGTAGTGGGAAAATGGGTACCAGTAAAATACTCAAAGCCTTATTAACACTGTACCTGGAATAAGTCATTTTGCCTCATCCATTTGCCAAAGTAGCTATTCCCAAGTTACGGAAATTTTGAGGTAGGCTAATAGCATTCTTGTATTTTATTTTAGAATGTAAGCTTAATGGCAGGGAACTATATCAATAATTACACTTTTATGTAGCAACCATTGCAGTATACTTTTGGTGCTTACTAAATTTTCATGATTATTAATAAACTGTATGTATGATTTACTTTGACCTGGATTTGAAAGTTCAAATATTCAATGTAACATAATAGAAGCATTCATATATACGAATAAAATTAAATTACCTGAGTACTGTGTATAAGCCAAATCTTAGTACCTGTTGCATTAACTTTTCCTAGGGAATCCTGGATAAACACCTACTCACTGCAGATAGAGCACCAATGGCAGGCCACAGGAATTTTTCCTTTTATCTAGCTTGATGATCCAATGAGTTTACTGGACTTACTTCCAGGAGCATGGGTGAGGGGTTACTTACAGGAGTATGGGTGTCTCCAAAACAGCCACATCATGGAAAAACCCTACCCAGCAATGGGTAACATCCTTCCAGAGCTGCATAAGTGGAGTTCCACCCTTCAGTTACCTTTCCACCTCCTATGTACTCTAGTGCCTCTCCTGATCATGTGCAGCAGGGGAAGAACCACATGCAACTGGGAGTGGAGTGGGTGAAAGGGAATGAGTGGCTGGTACTCAGGTGAGGGCCCAATGGCCCTCCCCAAACTCCTGTGAGAGAACTTCAGTGGGCCCCATCTTGCTTAGGGTCTCTTGCAGGTAATCACAGCATCTTTAATTAAAATAGTAATGACTGTTAACTCTGCGAGGACAGTATTCTACAATGTCATATAAGGTGTTGGATATCAGTGCAAATCCTCATATTTTTCAATTCTGGGGTTCCAGCCCAGACCTGGTCTTACATTTGCTAGGTATAATAATTTTCTCATTGACCAAATACCTGACAAGAAACAATTTAAAGGATGAATGGTTTATTTTGGCTCACAATTTTAAAGGAGACAGTTTATCATGGTGAGGAAGTATGAGCCATCTTGCTTATATCTGGGCCAATCAGGTAGGCAGAGAGGTGTCACGAGGAACTAGGCACAGCCTATAATCCATAAGACTTAACATCTTCTGCAGCTAGGCCCCCATCTCCTGAAAGTTCTGCAGGGAGCCAACTGTTCAAACACAAGAGCCTGTGGGGACAGTTCACGCTCAAACCATAAGACTCAGTAAGCATTCTACCTCTGTCCTGAATCCGAGCCGTGATATTTTTCACATCTTGACACATGCATGTCTGAATACAAAATCCAGCCAGCCTGTGCCACTGTGCAGTGTGTTTGGAGGATACTCACTGCCACGGCATTTTGCTTCCAGTGCCCCCTCTTGGCACTGAAGCTGCCCTAAACTCCCTAAACTTGGAGATTCTTGGGGCTCTGAATGAGTCTTGCATTCCTTTTCCTACCCTGAGGTGGTGAGGTAGGCTGTCACATGTCTTTGTGAGAGTTGTAATGGATCAGACACAATGGCAGGGCCTCCCGGGGTAGAAAGGCTTCCTAGAAGAGCTGGATGGTATGAGAAATAGAAGCTTGCCAGGAGGCAGCAATGGGCCTCCCATGCTCTCTCCATTTCCTGCGCCAGCATTTATCTAGGCGCCCAAGCTAATAACAAGTTGACAATATTTCTTCTTTTCCCTCAACTTCCAGGTACCCCTCTCCAAAACCCATCATCCAGCTGTGGAGAGGTCCAGGAGACCTTTCCTCTGTCTCTGTGAGCACCCACCAGTTCCAGGTTGAGACACTCACCTGACTTGTTATCCATGCTTGGGTTCACCAAGACAAGCAAGATGAAGGCATTGGACTTCCCAAGTCATCAAGAATCTTCACAGACAGGCCTCAAGCTGTTGGCAAATGAGCTTTCTTGTTCCAGTGCTCATGCCCAGCAGGATCAATTCCCAGACTTTTTTGTGCCCCTTGT